TAAGCTGTACCCCTAGTCAACCCATCTGCTTTTTGAACTTTCTAAAGATGGGATCTTGTAGGTTTCCTGTCCTGTACTTGAACTCACTATGTAGCTCATGCTAATCTTGAACTAGCCATTTTCCTGTTTCAGCCTCCCAAAAGCAGGTATTATAGCATGGTCTAGCCAGCCAGATTTCTTCCTTATAATTGTTTTTTTATTACATATTTTTATATTATACAATATCTCATGTAGCCAGGCATTGGTGGTGCATGCCTTTATTCCCAGCACTTGGGAGGCAGAAGCAGGTGAATCTTTGTGAGTTCGAGGCCAGCCTGGTCTACAGAGCGAGTTCCAGCACAGGCTCCAAATCAATACAGAGAAACCCTGTCTCGAAAACAAAACAAAACAAAACAAAAAGATATCATGTATTCCAAGCTGATGGCCTTACACACACTTTTATATACACATCCCTCCTTACATATACATATTCCCCTTACACACACACATCCCCCTTACATACATACCTTTATGTACACACCCCTCCTTACACACACACCCTTACACACATCCGGCTCACACACACATCCCTCCTTACAGACACCCTCACAGACATCTCTCCTTACACACACACCCTTACACACATCCCCTTACACACACACACACACACATACACACACACACACACACCCTTCACAGAGACAGAGACTACACAGCTTCCAGAGAGTTTCTAGAAACAGACCACAGTCTGCCTCAGGGACTGTGTCCAGCTCTGTCCCTAGAGAAGTTCGCCCATGGGGAGCTGTTCTGCCCAGAGCCTGCAACTACCCTGCAGGCAGCTCCTGGCAAGTCCCAACAGGATGGCAAGTGGGCTGGCAGGCAGGAAGAGGGCTGCTCTCTGCTTGCCCCTCAGTCTCCCTCTCTGCTGTAATTTACTCAATCCATCTGGGGCTCCTTTGAGCCATTTTCTGGAAATGCCACATTTCAAGGATCTCCCTGTTAGAAAAGGTCAGAGAGTTCACAGGGGCCTTTCATGTTAAAGGAACTTGAAAGGAAAGGAGAGGAAATGTGTATTTTCAGCCTTAGCTATGATTAAGTGGGCTCAGGCCATGAGAACAGCCAGATGATTTACATGGCATTACATGAAGAGCCAATTAGCCTAACAACTTCCGAAAAATATCGAGCTCATGAGCACCTATTTATTAGCGCCTTGGAATGTGCCAGGCTTTGTGCGAAGCTCTTTACTAGGAGACAGTGACTCACCCAGCCTCATGCTAGCATGAGAGGCAGGCCCAGATGGACACCTATTCCTCCCATAAGGATGCTGAGGTTCTGAGGCCAGTGATTTGTCCCAGATCCCAAAGGGTAGAAACTCCAGAGCTTCATTTCTCCACTGCCAACCCTGAAGGGGTCCTTTGACTCCAGCCTCTGAGGCCCACCAAGTTCACCTGGTTCATTTGCATAAAGATGAAGTCTCTTTTACAGTCACCACCCGTGGCTTGGCCACAGAAAACTTGGATCTCCCCCACAGCTAGTCTGGTCCTTGTCCACTCTGGGAACTTCCAAGGGAGTCGCCACCAAAGGGCTGGGCCACTGAGACGCATCGTTCTGAGAGATCCCCTCACCCCTTTGAGACAAGGTCCCATGTCATATAAGAAGTTCCTTCCCAGCACTTGGGAGGCAAGCAAGATGCTATTACAGATATCTGTGAGTTTGAGGCCACCCTGGTCTACAAAAGATGTCCCAGGACTTCCAGGGCTATACAGAGAAACCCTGTCTTAAAGAGGGGGAGAGTTCCTCTGAGATCCTACTGGGATATAAGTGTGGCAGTCAGCTGTGGGTTATGGAGTCTGACTACCAGGAGCTGGAAGCTCAGCTCAGCATCCTCATATTGAAGCTGTGACACCTTGGGTGACTTAGGCAACCTCTCTGAGCTTTAGTTACCTCATTGTCCCCATGTCACAGGGTTCAGCAATGATTAAATGAGATGATATGTGTGAAGCTCCTAAGGATGCTGGCTTACTGTAATCACCTAGTATATGAAGCCATCTGTCAGGTGATGATCAAGGAGGCAGTGCTGTCTGGGCAAGGGGTTCCTGCTACCGATTTATTTGTTTTTATTTTCTTCAGCTAGAATCTCATTTCGTAGCCCAGGCTGGATTAGATCTCCAAATCCTGGGGCTTTCCACACCCAGATGAATTACACACACACACACACACACACACACACACACACACACACCCCACCACCACCAACACCACCACCACCACCACCTCACCAACCCCAAAGCCATGCTAATCCCTCTTAGGTCTCTTGATCCCACTTGCACTCCTGCCCACCGTCTTGGGTGAGTACACAGTAGCCGCTCCTCAGCAAACCTTTAGACTGAGCTCAGTGTGGATGTAGAGAAGACTAAGCCCTTCTACTCCAGTCCTCCCCCTCCTCAAACTCCTAGTAACCCTTCTCATCTCCTCCCCACTGCTCATCCTGATGGGGTGAGGCTGAGAGCCCAGGATCCCTCACGGCAGTGGTTCCCAGGCTTGGGGGATTTCACAGCTCTATAAAGTCATCCAAAGACACTTGAGGGTGGGAGGGCGAACAAATCAGGAAAAAGTATATTTTCTTTTGCCAAATAAGGGCATATAAAAAAATTCTCTTTTCACTACCGTGTGAAGACAGGCTACTTACTGCACCAATGAAGTAGAAAGGCCTTGCTATTTGATAAAGAGGCAATACCAAGTTGGAAAAAAATTTACCCTGCAGGGGTGGGGGGTGAGATCTCATCTCCCCTTCCTTGACTTCTTGGATATAGAGAAATTCGATCCCCAATGGCCTGTGTCAGTTGGGACCTCATAGTCTGCCAGCCAGCATGGAAGCAACTTTGCCTGAACTGGAGTCGCCCATAAACATGGGAGGATCCACAGTGCCTTAAGATGGCTTAAGATGATGTTAATTTCTCTGCAACTTTCTCAGAAAGGTGGTCCACCCCAGACAACCTTGGAGCTGAGGTCAGGGAGGCCTCACCCCGGGACCTTTCCTCTCCTGTCTCTTTCTGCTGGAGTCCTTGCCCTGCCCCCAGTCTTGAGAGGATGGGGTCAAAATCAGCAGCAAGCTGGCACCTGCGGAAGGAAGACTGGAGAGGCGTCAAGGGCGGGATCTGCACCGCATCTCTATTGCCAAGCTGAGCACTAATGGCCAAGTCCCTCAGCTCCGGGGAGGGAGAAAAAAATGGGCATCCCAATCGGGAGCTGGAAGACCCAGAAGCCTCGCTGGCAGGACGCTGATAGAATCTGAGCGCTGAGAAGCAAGGCCCTGTCTCTTTGATCCTTGGCCAGGCAGGCTGGGCCTGGACCGGGAGGGGCGGTGCGGCTGTCTTCCGGCCGGCTTTGCGCGGCTGCCAGGGGTCCTTTGGGGCTCGGAGCCGGAGAGGCGGCTGGTGGCCTCCTCCCCTCTGTTCCAATTGCTCTCGCAAGAGGTGGATGGGTCCACACTGTCTTCAACACAGAAACGTGCTTGGGGCGGAGGTGTGTGCGCCTTCAGTTCACTACATCACTTTCCAAAGGGTCTAGTGTCTAGCAGAAACAGTGGCCGGGGAAGGCCACCCCC